CCTCAAGATGAAAAGCCTAACAGATAATGTTAATTTAAATACCATGCATGCAAACATCAATATTCATTCCATATGTTTGTCAAATAACATCATGCTTTCTGTGTTATCTCTTATCATGCGATTATTTTCATCATGTTTACTTATTTACTTATTAGAACAATACAAATCATAAAATATCATGGAATATTTACATAAGTATATTTAAACCATAACAATAATTAAACATGTAACAAGCAATCTCATATTCATGCAATATTCCTTTTATCACTCTAGAAATACTGCTTAAAACGTGCAAATAAATACCAAATTTTCTTACCAAAGCTTGAAGTTTTCTACACTCCTCTTCCTTCTATTTTTTCCTTTTTTTCTCTCTCTATCTCTCTCTCTTTCACTCTCTCTTTAGAATTACTTTGGTGAATGGAAAAATGAAGATGATGTGATGAAGGAGTGGTGGGGAGGGTCCCTATTTATAAAAAAAAGGGATTGTTGGATTTCTGCTAAGTGGTGCAAATCCGTGAGGAGAGAGGGAGGAAAAAAAGTGACCGACGTGATGCAATGACTAACAAACATGACTGACAAACAGTCGACAAGATGACAGTGATGCGATGGTGGCACGAAAACTAAAGGCACATTGGCCGAGGGACAACACACGCCTCCCAAACAATTACGGCACACGCCCCCCAAAGGTACAGCACACACTGCCCTATCACATGCACAGGCTTGTTGCACACTGGCAGTGTTTGCCGTGCGCGCTGGCCGAGGACCTACGTGCGCAAGCTCATGTACAGGTGTGCAAATCTATGCATCATCTGCTCGGAATGTGATGCGCGTGCAGACTATGCGCCTCGCGCCCCACGTGGATGGGTCCTGTGCGCAAACACATGTCCGTGTTGATTGTATGTATGTGGCACACAGTGCCCGTATGAGCGGAGAAAAATTTCCCACGGCCTTTATGCAGGATTTCTTTGTCGTTTTCCTTCTTTGTTTTCTTAAAATTTTTAAAATTAGTAAAAATAAATAAAATACATAAATACATAAATAAATAAGTAATAACTGCGTAAAAATATAAATTTTAAATTTTTAAATATGATTTCACTCAAAAATTAAAATCACAAATTTAAAGAGCTAATGGCCTTAGGGCTCGAACAAATAGAGATTTTACAGTAATTAAGTGCGAAGGTTATCGAGGTATTACAACCTGCATATAGGTGATTGGATTTGGGATGAGTTCTAAGATACTCAATAAAATAAATAGTAATAAAGTCATACAAATATATTTAAAATGTTCGTTAATGCAGTTTTAAAAGAAGCAGTGATATTTCAAATATTATCACAAGTTATCTAATTGCATACCATACATCCATATTCAACATCAGTATCCCATTTAATTGTCATATGACGCTCAATACCATATTCAATGGGTTTACATAACACATATTTATTGTATTGGGTTTTTGACTCTTCTTCTAACACCGTTTTATTAATAATTTATTGATCTAAATTTAAATTTTATTAATTAGAAACCTACGCGTGTAGCTGCTTATATTTATTTTCCAGGAGGGCAACATGGACACCAACTAGCTAAGAATGAGTGCTTAAACAATTTACAATATAATGACGTAAAATATGCATATAATCTCTTAGTCCTCTCTAGGCACCATCCCGTAATTTTCACTCCGGTTGCCATTATTCATGCTCTTGAGCTCAGAACATGAATAATAATTGGTTCAAAGTCTATAGACCACTGAACCACATTCCCAAAACTAGAACTCAATACCTCACCCAAAATCTAACAGTTTCCCTTATTAAACTCCATAACCCTTTTGGAAAATATAGTCAATCAAATTTCGACTAGACTCTTTGTTATTTTACATTTTAGACTCCCTTAATTTTCTTAATTTATTATTCTAAATTTTAGAATTTATTCGACCTATTAATTTATTAAAATTTATAATTTATCTTAATTATGTACCTAGGTTTTAAGTGAATTAATTGTTTTTAATTCTTAATTAAGTTTTATAGCTTTAATTTTCTTATTTTTAGTTAACTTTAAATAATTTGTTCTAAATTGTTAATTTTAACAATTTTATACAATTTAAAATAATTACTAAATTCCATACTTCCTTCCCAAATTATTGCATTTTACATTTTCACTTTATTTTTAATTTCAATTACCATTTTCCCGAAAGATCATTTCACCCTTAACCATATTGCCTGAGAGAAAGCCCAAAGAACTTTTTTATACTGAGCCCGTGGCCTAGTGGGCTTCCACGAGGGCCTCTCGGAGTGTCATGCCAAGCAGGCCAGCTCGACTCACCCAGCCTGCTGCGCAAGGCAGCAGACATGCGGGGCTTATACTGAGGCGCATTGAACGTCTTGACACAAGTCCCTGCATATATATGCGTGTGCGCCCGTGCTGCATACAATGCTTGTGTGTGCAGGTCCCCTCGGCGTCCGCAGATGCCTGGCAATACCTCGTGATCCCATGCGCAGCTCACTACGCGTACATAATGTGTGCTAGGGAAGTCTTTCCCGACATATTTGGGTGTTTAGAAAGAAACCTATGCGCAATCCCCCGCGATAGAGCTGCGTGTGTCATTTTTAACAACACTTTCGTGTCTGCCTCGATTAGCAGAGGCAATTTAGGCCTCTGTTAATGATTTCAATCATTTTTTTTCATTTAAATTCCAATTGCTTTCTTTCCGTTGTTTTTCCATGATTAAAGCATCATTAACATTCCTTAAAACCTTCAAAAATTACATAATTTAACCAAGGAAAAATAGTTATGACACGGGCGCGCTTCATGTTGGGTTAAAACACTACACAACATCCATTTGAACGAGAATTACCGTCAATATGCATGCTAAAAGACCATACTTGCATAAACTAGATTACACTTTATCTTACCTCAATGAAGACACGAATTTGAGTTCAAACGCACGAAAAAAGGTCAGGTTTGAGGCTGGAAAAGTGTTCTGCAACATGCCTGGAAGCTGTTGCAGAAACAGAGTGATTTTTTTGTGAGATAAAATTCTAGTTTTAGGGAGTTTATCTTAATTAGTGGGTTTCCATTAAGTTTCTAATACCATAGCCAAGTTTTAGTTTACGAGAATCCTACTGAAATAACCAAGCAGAAGAGAGAATGGAAGGAAATTAGTAGAATACCTGTCAGGTCTGCAAGTTCCAGAAATTTACAAAGGATTGGCTATGGGTTGAAGCCTTCTGCACAATCTGGAGTCCTAGGGTTGTTAAGAATAGTGTTTAATCATAAAGGAAAAGTGGAAGAATACAATTTAAGACGAAAAAAAGCTTAACTTAATAAGAAAGTCAGATTCTTGTGCATAGACTCACCCAAACTCACTCTGTAACGACCCCGGGTGGGTGTTAACACCCTCACACACACGTTCTATTTCTTCATTCTCACACTCGACTGCACTTCCTAAATTCTCTCTAAACCCACTGGATTTTAAATCTTTCATTTTTGGCCAAATGA